TAGCTGAAAAGGAACCCAAGAGAATAATGAGCAGAGCACCAACAGTAAGAGAACTATTTTGAAGACAGGTTGGGGTTCCCAAACAAACCATTTTTAGAAAGAAAGCTATGGATCTAAAAAGCATTTCCCTAAAGTTTCCACCCCAGGGCCCCTTAGAAAGCCTTCATATACCCTTAAAAAGTCCAAGGGCAGCAATTCTCACCCTACATTCAGTATTCATCAAATAATTAGGAAAGTAACTCATTCAATATTCAGTATTCTAAGAAAAATGATCCCTATACTCAAAGTTTAGGACATGGCCAGCTAAGAAAAGTCAGATAAGCTCTTAGGACTTCTCAAAGTCTAAAAAATGATAAGCTATGATAAGCTACATTGTGAATACTGTGTGCAACATTTTCCAAAAAGAATCCCTTTTTTTGACATTATACCTATTTTCCTTTCATGGAATACTCATATTTGATCAAACAGAATAAGATACCTTAGAATTTTGGACACAGAGCTTTTTTTGGCTAAAATGGACTTATAGTCAACAGATCTAGTCCTTAAAATCATATATATCAATGTAACCCTTTTATAATAACTCTTTAAACACTTACTGAGTGCTATTTTACACTGGGTCTATACCAAATACTTTTATTATTTATATTGACTCTAATACCCAACAAAGCCTTAGAAATTGTTAACCATATTTTGCAAATAAGAAACTCAACTAAGTGAAGTAATTTTTCCAATGCTATAACGCTGGGAAATGGTAGAACTGGAATAATGAGTAGAAGGAAGAGGAGTTATAATAAGAAGAAATTAGTGGCCAGCCACAGTGGCTCATGCCTGTAATCCCAGCACTTTGGGAGGCTGAGGTGGGTAGACCATCTGAGGTCAGGAGTTCGAGACCAGGCTAGCCAACATGGAGAAACCCCATCTCTACTAAAAATACAAAAATTAGTCAGGCGTGGTGGCAAGCGCCTGTAATCTCAGCTATGTGGGAGGCTGAGGCAGGAGAACTGCTTGAACCGAGGAGGCAGAGGTTGCGGTAAGCCAAAATCATGCCACTGCACTCCAGCCTGGGCAACAGAGCAAGACTCTCTCTCAAAAAAAAAAAAAAAAGAAAAGAAAAAGGAAATTAGCTTTACCAAATAATTTTTGTCATATATATCAAACAGAAGCTATCATGCTAATGAAAGTTTATTAAATTTACAGCATAAAACACTAAGACCATACTATTACAAAGGGAGAGTCCTGCCTGAATTAGTCAACATCTTTTAAAATGCAAGTTTCTTGAATGCATAAATTCTGTATAAGGACATAAAAACATATAAAGAACTAAAATTATGAAAATTAAAAGTTAATTACAAAAACATAAATTCTGAGTGATCACTATCTGTACCATTTATTTTGAATATCTGAGAAAAATAAATCTTAAACTATGAATCATCACAAAGCTGATTAAATGGAGACTAAAGTTTTCTATCATTCTGCTGGTTCTCCTCCATTGACTTTTGATTACCTTGATAATTACCCTTTTACCTTTTAATTTTTTTTTTTTTTTTAAAGACAGAGTCTTGCTTTATTGCCCAGGCTGGAGTGCAGTCGCTCAGTCTTGGCTCACTGCAACCTCCAACTCCCAGGTTCAAGTGACTGTCCTGCCTCAGCCTCTGGAGTAGCTGGGATTATAGGCGAGTACCACCACGCCTGGCTAATTTTTTGTATTTTTAGTAGAGACGGGGTTTTACTGTGTTAGCCAGCAGGTACTTCTTAAATTTTAATCATTAAGAATAAAAAGCAACTTAATACCTACTGCATCACTCCAAGGGAACATCATACTGAAACCTCATGTAATTTCTGTTTAACATTTGTTGAACAAGGTATAAAGATAAAGTCTTTCCCAGAGGGCATATAGAAAATTATTTTAAAATCTGAGTGTGGTATTAAAGTCAGTCAACAACAATTCAACAAATATTTATGAAGCATCAGAAGCAATGGCAGACAGAAACGACACTCTCATGGCCTCCATCCTTGTGAATGATACACGTGTGGCACAGAGATAATACAAAGTAACAAAAGAGGCTGTTGGCATTTTACTACAGCTTACTGTGCCCACATAAAAACAGAAAAATTAAGCACTCCCAAAGCAAAACATCATTTTTCTCTACCAAACCCAAAACCCATAGGAGAGCATACAATTTGAAAGGAGTTATGGAGGAATCAAACTACAACATAGGCCTCTTTAACTATGGCAATAACAAATAACTTCACGTTGATTAGAAGCCAATATGAACTAGTTAAAAGAAAAAACAGAAAACACGAGACTAGACTAAAGGAAATTTAATTTCCAAAATTACCACAGAGAGTAATCTTTGATGGAATCTAGTCTCTGCTTACCTAAATGCATATACCAATCAACATTATAAAAGATAAAATACCAAATTTGAAAAGAATCTGAGAAATTGACATATTTTAACTCTTATATTTGAAGAATTATTTAATCATAAAATATTGTTTTTACACTACAGTATGGTTATAGCTTTAATAAGAGAAATTCCTTTTACATTCAATAGAACTCAGTACACTTGAAACATCTCTAATTTATTTACAAAAATAAGTTTACATTTGTATCATACATCATTTTGTGTCAGCTAATAAGGGTAGAGTTAGCCCTGCTTTTTAATAGTAGGCTAAAAAATAAGTTCACTAATAAAGATAATTTTATTCACTTTAGTTAACGTGATTACCATTCTTTTTCAATTATGTCAATAATCCAAATCTCAAAATGCCTTAAAAGTAAATGCCGGCTGGGTGCCGTGGCTCACACCTGTAATGCCAGCACTTTGGAAGGCTGAGGCAGGTGAATCACTTGAGTTCAACATCAGCCTGACCAACATGGTGAAACCCCGTCTCTACTAAAAATACCAAAAATTAGCTGGGCATAGTGGCAGGCACCTGTAATCCCAGAGACTCAGGAGGCTGAGACAGGAGAATCGCTTGAACCCAGGAGGTGGAGGTTACAATGAGCCGAGATCATGTCATTGCACTCCAGCCTGGGCAACTAGAGCAAAACTCCATCTCAAAACAAACAAACAAACAAATTAGCTGGGTGTGGTGGCAGGTGCTTGTAATCCCAGCTACTCGGGGGGCTGAGACAGGAGAATCACTTGAACCCAGGAGGCAAGAGGTTACAGTGAACCGAGAGTGTGCCATTGCACTCCAGCCTGGGAAACAAGAAGGAAGCTCCATCACAAGGGGAAAAAAAAAATGAAATGACAAAGGAAATGAAATGGTACATAAGAAAATATCTATTTAGGCTGGGCATGGTGGCTCACGCCTGTAATCCCAGTACTTTGGGAGGCTGAGGCGGGCGGATCACAAGGTCAAGAGATTGAGACCATCCTGGCCAACATGATAAAACCCCATCTCTACTAAAATACACAAAAAAATTAACTGGGCATGTTGGCACATGCCTGTAGTCCCAGCTACTCAGGAAGCTGAGGCAGGAGAATTGCTTGAACCCAGGAAGCAGAGGTTGCAGTGGCGTGATCATGGCTCACTACATTCCAGCCTGGTGGCTGGTGACACAGCGAGACTCTGCCTTTAAAAAAAAAAAAAAAAATCTAATGCACAAGAAGGTACTAATGGAGGAATAGAGGAACAAAAAAGATATAAGACATATTAAAACAAATGGTAAATATTATAGCAGATGTAAATCCTACCTTATCAGTAATAACATTAAATGTAAATGAACTAAACACTCCAATTGAAAGGCAGAGGTCAGCAGACTGAATTAAAAACAAAAAACAGACTGAAAATACAACAACATAAAAAAAAAACACAGGCTGAACTATGTGCTATCTATAGGAGGCATACTTTAGATTCAAGGATACGAAGAGGTTGAAAGTAAAAGGATGGGGAAAAACATGCTATGCCAACAGTGCTCAAAAAAAATAGCTGGGCATGGTGGCGCACGCCTGTAGTCCCAGCTACTCGGGAAACTGAGGCAGGATAATAATATAGTATAGCCGAGACTATGCCATTGCACTCCAACCTGGGCAACTAGAGCAAAACTTTTTTTTAAAAAAAAAAAAAAAAAAAAAAAAAAAATAGCTGGGCGTGGTGGCGGGTGCTTGTAATCCCAGCTAGAATACTTAGTATAGCTGAGTGGCTATACTAATTAAAGCCAAACAGACCTTAAGACAAAAAATATTATAAGGAAAAATATTTAACCATTTTTTAAAAAATAGGTCAATCCATCAGGAAGACATAACAATTATAAACATATATTCACCTGCCAACAAGGCCCTAAAAATACATAAATTAAGGCAAAACTGAAAGAAGAAATGGAAAATTCCACAGTTATAATTGAAGACTCTAACACTTCTATTTTCAATAACAGAATAGGCAGAAGACCAACATGGAAGTAAAAAACGTGAACGGCACTATAAATCAACTACACCTAACAGATAACTATAGAATACACACCTAACAATAGCCAGATACACATTTTCCATTGATCTGGAGGGGTGGTTGGTGGGGATGGGTAATGAGCATTTCTGGAATTAGGTAGTGGTAACGGTTGCACATCCTTGTGAATATGCTAAAACCACTGAATTGTACACTCTAAAAGAGTAAGGTTTTTTGGTATGTGAATTAGATCTCAATAAACCAGTTATTTTTAAAAAGGAACATTAAATCAAAAATAAAAGCAATGTAGTATGAATACACATGTAGAAGTAACTTATAAGAACTATGATGCAACAACAGCATAAAGGCAATAGGGAGTAATGGAAGCATATTATTTTAAGGTTCTTAAAATATACATGAAGTGGTATATCACTTGAAATTACACTGATAAGTAAACAAAAAATATAAGTGCCTTACACACAGTGGATATTCCATAAATAATTATTATGTGAAGATTTACAGGATTTTATCAATTTTAAGGCCTAAAACACATACATGTCTTTTTAATAATATAAAGCTATATATATATAAATATAAAACATACTTACCAAAACAGAATAAATGTGCAAACATCGATAAACAGGAGAAAAATCAACAAGATCCTGAACAGTCAAGACCTGAAAATTAAACCATTTTTTAAAAATTATATGTCAAACTACCAGACCACCATTAGATAATGTAAAGTTAAAGATAGACAAGAAGATTCATGAACTTTGCATTACAACATTTATTCAATTCCCCCATAGAAAGCATACAATATAAACACAAAGCCTTCTTTATTTTGTTTTGCCATTTGTTTGGTAGTTTATTCTTTGAAGTATGTTTATTATCACTGTTGACTGTTTCTAATTTAAAGTAACAGAGGAGAGAAATTGTATATTTTTGATATGTGTGAGAGATTAACAGAAAACTGCTATGGATAACTAGATACCTCAATATTGTTTCAGGTAAAACTGATACATAGATTTTATGGTTTAGCTATAGACAAAGTTCCTCTTCTTAGGCAGCCAGGTCATATGATTAGTCATTATCGCATTGAATTAAAGACATTATCACTATTATTTTATGGACCACTAAGAAAGAAAAAAACACCACCACTTAAAACTATGACATCATCAACTTTAAGATGTATCCTAAATTCTGAAATATTATGTGAAAAAAAATCTTATAATTGATGAAATGTAGTATTACTAAGTTTCTCAAACTTGAGAAGTACATAAACCCTTTTAAAAGGAACACATTTGTACTCTCATGAATCTCCAGAGTAAACTTAAATTATTTTAATATAATATTGCTTATAAGGGAAAATGATAAAAACAAAATGTTGTACAGTATAGTAGTAAAATAGATCTGAGAGAACAGGGAAACCACCAAGCTCTTCTAAAAGTATAGATCTGGGGGCAAGGCATGATGGTGATGCTCCCAGTAGGATATACAGAACACAAAGGGGAAAATTGAAGTAAGACTAGATGGTTTATTTTCAACATTCTACACTTCAAAGGAGAAGATAATACAGAGGTCCTCTGACTATTAAGAAAGAGCAAAAAAGTAGATGTCAAAAATATTTGTTTAATTTCAAGGGACCAAAAACCTAACAATAATTTCAAGGGACTAATGAGGACATACTAACTAATTCCACATTAGGAAAGCATTTAACTGTTTAAGGCTGTTTGTTTGTCTGTATTCAGTACAATAGCAGATATTTACTACATACACATATATATACACACACACACATATACATGCATACATATTCACACAAATATATTACATATTCACACAAATATAGATACAAATATATATTATGTATATATTTGTGTGAATACATATGTATGTACCACCTCATCCTCAGATATACAGCAGAAATGTACATAGTGGCTGGGTATGGTGGCTGACGCCTATAATTCCAGTACTTTAGGAGGCCAAAGCAAAAGGACCACTTGAAGCCAGGAGTTCAAGACCATCCTGGGCAACATAACAGTTGCCAATCTCCACTAAAAATACAAAAAAATTAGCTGGATATAGTGGCATATGCCTGTAGTCCCAAATACTTGGGAGGCCAAAGCAGGAGGATCGCTTGAACTCTGGAGTTTGAGGTTACAGTAAGTTATGGCTGTGTCACTGCACTCCAGCCTGGGTGGTACAGTAAGACTTTGTATCAAAAAAAAAAAAAAAAAAAAAAAAACCCTAAAAAAAGAAATGTACATGGAGAACACTCAGCTGTTCGCTCATTCACAAATGCAGTCATGAGTACATAGTCATACGGTTCAACTAAAAGTTCTTACTGTATCCCAATTATGTCCTTAGAAAAAGAATTTAAAATCTCATTGACAAGGCAAAACTTATAAATAATTGGGAATAACTAGGTTCCAATGATAATAGCTAAATTTTGTAAAAAATGGAAAAAGACAATAAAAAGTAAACTCAATAGAAGATTCTGTGGAGAGAATTTTATTTGTTTTTTTGAAATGGGGGTCTCACTCTGTCACCCAGGCTGGTGTGCAGTGGCATGATCACGGCTCAATGCAACCTCAGCCTCCCCTGGCTCAGGTGATTCTCCCACTTCAGCCTCCCAAGTAGCTGGAAATACAAGTGCTACACCTGGCAATTTTTTTTAATATTTTTGTAGGAAAGGGGTTTTGTCATGTTGCCCAAGCAGGTCTTGAACTCCTGGCTCAAACAATTTGCCCACCTCAGCCTCTTAAAGTGCTAAGATTACAGGCATGAGCCACGGCATCAGGCCTTGTAGAAAAAACTTCCAAAAGCAATCGGAGGCTGGGCATGGTGGCTCACACTTATAATCTCAGCACTTTGGAAGGCTGAGTGAGAGGATAATTTGAGGCCAAGATACAGAGTTCAAGTCCAGCCTTGGTAACACAGTGAGACCTCTGTCTCTATAAATTTTTTCTTTTAATTAGCCAGGCATGGTGATGACATGACTGTAGTCCTAGCTACTCGGGAGACTGAAGTGGGAGGATCACTTGGACCCAGGGGTTGGACGCTGCAGTGAGTTATGACTACACCACTGCACTCATGGGCAACAGAGTGAGCGCTGTCTATATATAAAAAAAAATGAAAACAAAAAACAGAATGAGAGAATGAATTTGGATATAGAAGATGAAAGATACAAACCACAGTGCTTCAAAGGAAAAAAAAAAGAAGATGAAAGTGAATATTTAAGGATAATTTCAAAATTTCTAGACTTACAAGGACTTTTTTTCATTGAAAGACTTAACTTTAATCATATTAGAGTTATTTTTGTAGTATTTTGGCACCAGTTTTTTAAAAAGGTGAACTATCCAGAATTAGGCCAAATGATAAGACATTACAAAATAAAAATTTTGCAACAGATAATTCAAATATAAGTAATCACTATAAAAATCTTTAGATTTATACTTTTACTGCAGATTCCACTACCAGAGATTTATAAATATAATCTACAATATATCCTGTTTATCTGTCAATTATTTAGACTAACATTTCAGATGACTCCATTGCCCTAATAGCTCATTACAGTCTGACTTTGTCAACTTGAAATAAAAATATATAGAGACAAATTTCCAAGCAAAAAAAATTTGAGAATAAACAAAGAAATAGGATTACAATCCAGGACCTGCATAGATGGGGTGGTCTCTGGCATGTCTGGAGAACAAAGGTTAGAGTTTTATTGTGGCGACAAACTGTTATGCAAACTGTTTTGAAAGAAAGTTCACTGGTGAGCGTCAATAGCTAATAGAAAGGACTTGTAATCTTGGAGTTATAATTAGGCCCTTACAGTTTTGGATTGACCTCGTGAGATAGTTGTTTTTTTGTTTGTTTTGAGACAAGGTCTCACTCTGTCTCCCAGGCTGGAGTGCAGCGGTACAACGTTGGCTCACTGCAACCTCCACCTCTCAAGTTAAAGCAATTCTCACATATCAGCCTCCCAAGTAGCTGGGACTACAGGTGTCCCCCACCACACCCAGCTAATTTTTATATTTTTGGTAGAGACAGGGTTTCACCATGTTGGCCAGGCTGGTCTTAAACTCCTGCCCCAAGTGATCTGCCCAACTCAACCTCCCAAAGTGCTGAGATTACCAATGTGAGCCACTGTGCCTGGCCTGTTTTGAAACAGACAACTGTTCACATATTAAGTGGCTAGCTGTCCTTGTAGAGCTGATGCAGTAAGCTGTGGTTTCAAAGAATTTATTGTGACAGTTCCTGTTACCAGGCAAATCATGCATGACGGCCCTCCCTTCATGGCCTTTGCAGGCTCCATTTTGTCAAAGTTTGACACATGTGACTCCATTTTGACTCCGACAACTTTTACCACATAAATTCATTTTGCATATGGGAAGACCAAATCATATATGTACATTACAATCCAAAAGAAAAAAAAAATTATCTAATAGTAGAAAAAGAAAGAAACCCATCACCTCCTCTTCATTCTCATCCTCTTCTTCAAGTGAATGTTTCAATACAGTTTCACTGCTTTCCTCTGGAATTTTATCATGATTTATATACATATTCTTCCCAAATTTCATTTTATTTTTTTTCTGCAGAGAAACATTAAAGGTTTTCTGATGCTGTGCCTATTTTGAAGAAAGAAAAATTCAGATTTCAAAACTGATTATGGTCAAAATTAGTTCAAAAAAATTGTTCACAATGTTTTCTTATCTTTTTAGTATCTGTAGGTGTAGAATCTATAGTGATGCCCCCTTTCTTCATCATGATTTTTGCCTTCTCACTTCTTTTTTTTTTTTTTTAACAGGGTCTCACTCTGTCATCCAGGCTTGAGTACAGTAGCACCATCACAGCTTACTGCAGCCTCAACCTCCCCAGGCTCCGGTGATTCTCCCACCTCAGCCTCCAGAGCAGCTGGGACTACAGGCATGTACCACCACACCCAGCAAGTTTTTTTTTAATTTTTTTGGTAAAATGGGGTTTTGCCATGTGGCTCAAGCTGTCCTTAAACTCCTGGCTCAAGCAATCCTCCTGCTCCAGCCTCCCAAAGTGCTAGGATTACACGCATGACCCACCGCACCCGGCTTCTTTTCCTTTTTAAACAGTCTTAAAATTATGCAGAACCATGTATTTCCTCAGTTGGCATATTGTATGTTGGCAAGGGGGGCTGGTTCACTCTTTGGCCATACTCCCAACTCCCTGAATTAGCCATTAACCTCACAGAAGGAACTATGGCATCAGGTTGCAAGCTTATTTTACTTCCCACTGAAAATGCTCACAGTTTGTGAAGGCTAAGAATGCAGAAGCTGTTATCCCATAATTGATCATTCATAAAAAACAACATTTACACAGAATAAAAAGTTGAGAACCCTCATACCTTCTTTTAGGCATTTGAGTAATACTTTCCTATCAGAACTTCATTACCAGAAATAGAAAAAGATACAAACTTAATTCTGGGATTTTAATTTCCTTACACACTGCATATCAGCGAGACATTCTCTCTGTTTTGACAGGTCAGATTGTCATTATTCTGTTCTATTCGCAAATAGAAAGGTCATGCACTGGCTCTTTTAGGTGAATTCTCTCTAAGGCATATGTAACTGGCAACAAGCCCTTCTCTACTCTTAGGTTTTCAGACCATTCAAGTTGCAGTAACCTGGCTCTTCTCTTTCCTAGACTTTGATCCTGGCTGCCCCCCAGAGGTTTGTACTGCAGAAAATTATTATCACTCCTGTGGGCTCCCTTTCCCTCTGTGCCCAAACTAATTTTGTCAATGATTTTCTGTCCTCAGAGTATAAAATCATTTATTTAGAGTATTGTTTCCAAATTATGTTATGTACAAAACCAACAGTTCACACAGCAAAAATAGATGTTCCTTGAAAAAAGGGTTCTAAGCTCAAATGAATTATATAAATATTACATATTGTATCCTCCTTCTCGGGATTTACAATTCATAGGTAAAGAAATCTGTTTAACTTGATTTAACCCAGGTTTCCAAAACTTATTTGACTATTTAGTCCCTTTGTTCCCCCTAGAGCAGTGGCCCCCAGCCTTTTTTTGCAGGTGATGGTTTCGGATGAAACTGTTCCACCTCAAATGATCACGTATTAGATTCTCATAAGGAGCACACAACCTAGATCCCTCGCATGCACAGTCCACAGTAGGGTTCACGCTCCTAGGAGAATCCAGTGCGGCTGATCTGACAGGAAGCGGAGCTCGGGCAGTAACCCTCTTTCGCCAGCCACTCACCTCCTGCTGTGTGGCCTGGTTCCTAACAGGCCACAGACAGGACAGGTACCAGTCTGAGGCCTAGGGGCTGGGAACCCTGCCCTAAAGAGCAATATTAAAGTGTGCCAGAGAACATCATATGAAAAATGTTAACTTAGAATATAAATTGTAGATATTTATTGCTAATTAAACATGAGACTACTCAGATGGATTCATCTCTCATATTAGAATTTTAAAAATTCTCCCTAGACAATCTAAAACTCAGCTCTAAACTAATTTTTTTAAATAACTTTTTTGTGCCATTCATATTAGGCATAATAGCTAGATCCCAGGAAACCAAAAATAAACAGGGCAAAATCGTTCACTCAAAAAATTCACAGTCTAGTTAAGAACATTAAAAAAAAAAAAGCAATTATAGTGTGAAAAGTATAATAGTATACACACTGAGGATGAAGTGACCATCTCTTGCTGGCAGTAGTGTAATGGGTGATGGCAGAAGATTTCACAGACAACGTAATGTTCAAGCCAACTTTTGGGAGGAAAAAGCAGAACAGAGAAATGTGAAAGAATGGAAGACATTCTCAGTGAACAGCTAGTATATTCAAAAATCTGAAAGACAGCAGATACTGCTAGAGCATAGAAAGGAGACAAGTACCAGGATGAGACTGAGGAACTTGGACTTAAGTAAAAGGTTACAGGGAATCCCTTAAGATGAAGTGGTGTGGTCTTATTTGCATTTTAGGACAGTAACCAACAGAAGAAGAGAATACAGATAAGGAAAACAAATGATTCCGTTTAACAGTCCAGCCATGTAGAGGGGAAAATGGAATCTACAGATATTTTGAAGTAGAATTGATAGTAACTAAGTAGGACTTAGTAACAAATAACATTAACAGTATCAATACTCCTGAAAAGTTTAATGTACTCCCCAGTTTCTGGCTTGTGGAAACAGGAGACACTACTATCTAAGATAGCAAATACAAGAAAAATAGATTTAGGAAAAAGAGAATGAGTTTAGTCTTAGAAATGCTGGGTTTGGGGTAGCTATAAGATATTCAAGTGAATACATAACAAGTCCATCCATCCGTAAAAGGGATATGAGATCCTGGAATTTAAGCACAGGATTCAGAGTGCACCCAAGAGAGGGAGCTGCTTTGCAAAGTGCGAGCTTTACACTCATACCACCTAGAAGTTTCCAGAACCAAACTGTGACTCTGCCAAACTGAGCACAGCTGACAAGAGACTTCAGGAGGCTTCTTATACTCAAAAACAAAACAAAACCCACAAGAAATTGAAAGGTAGCCTGAAGGGATACCAAGACAGAATAAAATACAACTTTTCTTATAAAATCTTGAGAAGCCTAACCCTCACTAGAAGGAAAACCGTCTAACTTCTCAGCTCTGTGGAAGATATTTCCAAAAGAAGAAATTGTGAAGAAAAACACCCCCACAGGCCGGGTGCAGTGGCTCACGTCTGTAATGCCAGCACTTTGGGAGGCTGAGGCAGGTGGATCTCAAGGTCAGGAATTCAAGACCAGCCTAGCCAGTATGGTGAAATCTCGTCTCTACTAAAAAATACAAAAATTAGCCGGGTGTGGTGGCATGTGCCTGTAGTCCCAGCAACCCAGGAAGCTGATGCAGAAGAATTGCTTGAACCCAGGAGGCGGAGGTTGCCGTAAGCCGAGATCACGCCCACTACACTCCAGCCTGGGTGACAGAGTGGGACGCTGTCTCAAAAAAAAAAAAAAAAAAAAAAAAAGAAAAAGAAAAAATGAAAAACATCCCCACAGAGAGATGCTAAGGAAAGGTTTCTGTATGAAATGTCTGTTTAAATTACAATGATAGGGAGTTTGATGACTTTTATGAGGAAAAAATTATAGTGGACCAACAGAGTCTATTCTGTCCCAGAAACAAATTCTCATAAATCTTAAATACTAGGGCTCATGATTTGAAGGACTGCCTAAGTGGAAAGAGTCCAAAACTGGTCTATGAAAGATAGATCGAAGTTAAGTTTAACACTGATGCTCTTAATTAAAATATATAATGGAATATGAACTTTAAACTACTGTTTGCCTTCTCATACTGAAAAAATTTATCAAGTGGTTGTGTTTCTAACCCCCATGGCATACACAGATTTCCTTGGCCAGGGATAGGAGAAAAAGTATTGAAAACACTGTAATATTGAAGGCAAGAATACAATGGTGAAGAGCTCTCCAATGGGAAAGACACTCACTGACCAGAGGCAGTCAGTCAGAAAGACTTAGGAGTTTCTAAAGTAGTTTGTAATACTTAGGGGGAAAAAAAATCCAGCATTAGAAATCATAAGAGTGTGCAATGCAAAGACGAAAAGAAGAAATGGCGTTGAGCATCATTTTATTTCTATGACATTACGATTATTTTGAGTTTTAACAGCTCTTAGAAAATTTATTTTTAAGCTTATTAAAAATTTCAAAATAAACAGATTAATATCATGAACTCCCATCACTTATCTTCAACTAATATTTTTACATTCTTGATTAATCTATACCTTTATCTACTTGCTCCATAGATACCAAATTATTTTTTATACTTTTATACTTATTTTTATAGTTTTTTTAAGTAAGATGTATATATGCTGTAATATACAGATCTTAGCTGTACAACTTTGACAAATACATTTTTATCATGGTATAAAACATTTCCATCTCCCCAGAAAGTCCCCTGTGTCTCATTCTAGGCAATTTCTCCACCCAGAGGTAACCACTGTTCAGATTTTTTTCATCTCAGTTTTACCTGCTTTTGAATGGCATAAAAATGGAATCACACAGTTTGCGCCTTTTTGCATTCAATTTCTGTGGCTTGACATATCTGTGAGATTCATATATTTTGTTGCATTATCAGTAATTCATTTCTTTCTATTGCTAGGTAGTATTCCATTGTATGAATATACCACAATATGTGTATCCATTCTCCTTATGATAGCCATTTGGGTTGTTTCCAGTTTGAGGCTGTGAACAAAGATGCTAAGAACATCATGAGGCCATGGTTTTTTGTTTCTTTTTTCTCACTGATAAACACTTAGGAGTGGAACTGCTGACTCAAAAGGTAGATATATTAACTTTATAACTGCTAAGGTTTTTCCCATTGTTTGTCCCTTTATTATTGAACTGTAGTAGTTTTTAATTCACAGTTAATACTTTTAATTTGTTTTAAATAGAGAAGAGTTTAGAAATGCTGGGTTTCAAAGATGTTTTGCAAAAAGAGACTCCCACTTGCCTCTGTGGCTGCCACTGTTTAGCTAATTCTATACCAGATTTGGCTGGCTGTAAAGGATAACATACATGGAGAAGGATGCTGAGAGTTCAGGCGGTAACTAAAGAATTTAAGTTAGAATAATTTTACTTAAATAAGAAATAACTGTGAAGCCAAAGAAAACACTAATAGAATCCTTTCTAAATAAGAACTAGAAAAGACAAGAAAAAGGTAAAACAAAAATAAGCATTTTATGTAAGTGAAAGAAGTAAACCTTGGCTATTTACCAGATCCTGTATTACTGAATAATATTAAATCAAAATTATTTTTCATCTCACCTGTTTCATTGCTGTTTCACCTATTTTGTCAGAATGTTTTCGAATGCTTTCCAAAAAGTCTTTGAGATCAGACATGGAGATTTCTTTAATATCCTCACGGAGTTTGGGAAGATTTTCTATCATGAGCTGACAAAACCGGTATTGACTAACCCAGGGAAAGTACACGTTCTCTAATTGTTCCATAGTTTTTAGGGCAGAATAGTACCTGTGAGAAGTTAAAATGAAAACTCTATAAAAAGTTCTGATCAAAATAATTTTACAAATAAGTCTAAATAATCAGTCTTACACTAACTATTCATCAAAAAGGATCTAGTCATAGTTAAAATAAGGAAAATTAATATTTATATCTATTTGTCAAGCACACACTATAAATCACATAAACAAGCCACAGGCTCAAATTTCATGGCATACATTAATGCAAAACTTCCCTATTTCACTTCATCTGAATCTGTAACATCAAAAGTATTATCATAGTCATCTCAATACCTTAAATGAGTATGTATAATTGTTTCAAATCTCTGAATTATAACATTTAGTGATTTGTTATATGATTTTATATTCTATCTCCCATCATAATATCCAACCACACAGTATCACCACACAAAAGAAGTACATAACAATATAATTCTAATTAAAATACGATTTATTTAACTTTTTTAAAAATGTCATACTACTCTACCACTTAAGGCAATTAGAAATACCGTTAAGTATCACAGAAAAAAACAAATAATAATCCACATAGGCAGAGTGCTTTTTCAATTCAACAAATATTTACTGAATGTAATATTTCCTGTTTTGGGCTTTGGGGGATAGAATTTCACAGTGTGACATGCTGGGTATGCAGCAATTAGTAAAGTATAGCCTTTGACCTAGATAAATTGACATATATTTTCATATACATAATTTAGTTCTCTTTAGACTTCTACAAGGTACATTTCTATGGCAGATATTACAAGTAGCATTCCATAGTTGAGAAAACTGAAACACAGAAAAACAGTATATGATTTGGCCAAGACACCATATTAATTGGGAGCAGGACTGAGACCATACAAAACTGTCAGTTTCCTACCATAATATTCACCAAAAATGTATTTGAGAGTTAGGTAGAGGAATTTCTAAAATTAATTACATAGTATTTTATATCTTCCTACTGAATTGGATGACATTAAAAGCAGGAAAAGGCATGAACTAATGTACAAAAAAAAAAAGTAAGTTGATAGAAACATGAGACATAAGTGAAAACAAAAGTAAGTTGAAAAGACCCACTGGGTGTAGTGGCTCACACCTGTAATCCCAGACTTTGGGAGGCTAAAGCAGGCAGGTCACCTGAGGTAAGGAATTCGAGACCAGCCCGGCCAACATGGTGAAACCCTGTCTCTACTAAAAATACAAAAATTAGCCAGGCATGGTGGCGCACACCTGTAATCCAGCTACTCAGGAGGCTGAAGGACAGGAATCATTTGAATCTGGGAGGTGGCAGTTGCAGTGAGATTGTGCTACTGCACTCCACCCTGAGTGACAGAGTAAGACACTGTCTCAAAAAAAAAAAAAGACATTACATTCAAAAGCTCTTTAAAGATATCAATTAGTTTTCTGGCATACACTCTCAAAGACAGAGTATATTCTGCAAATTGTCACAAATATTACCACTAATTCAAAAATTAGATCATCTAAATTTTATCTTGGTTATTTAAATATCAGAATGCTTATAATGTAAACAAAAAGTACATTTGGTCAGAAACTAAAATATTTAGGTGATGGTATGAGTAGAAGAGATGTCATTACAATAATTTTGATAATGCCTGAGATATTAAAAGCTTAAATGAAGTGAAATAATGAATTACATATTTTCAGTGTAACTCATAACATTTTAGATGCAACAGATCAATCAATAGTCAAACCACACTATCTGATCCTGGACTAATTTCCTGATTTGATACGAACTAGGTATATTTCAAAAGTATTCTCTCTACAACAGGTATGTCTCCTGAAAATTCATGCTAATATCTATAATATATTTGAAATCCTAAGTGATGTAGAATAAATGAAAAGTATTACCAGTAGCTTTTGTAACATGCCACAGACACAATCAACTTACTTCATAGCACAACTCCCTGCTGCTCGTTTCTCACCTCCCATCCTGGTGCTCCCGTGAGACATCATGAGAGGCACAAGAGGTCATAAGATTTACCTAGCACCCATATGCACACAACCCAGAAATGTGGAGAGTTAATGTCAGTGGGTTGAACTCTTAACCAATAAGGAAAGCAAGACAGAGATAAGTTCTCCTTTCCTCTTCCTAGAGGGAAGGTTTTGATTTGCAATAACATACACAACCTCCCAAAAAGTATTTAAATTGATCAATAATCAAGCAGTGGCTAACTCAATAACTCACCCTTATATGTGCTCTCTCAACTTTCCTTCTGAATTAATTTTTATAAAAACTGAGAGTTAGTGTTTACATTTATTTATTCATTCACTTTTTTACATGTGAATGTCCAGTTGTTCCAGCAGCATTTGTTGAAAGAACTACTCTTTTTCCATTGAATTTCCTCAGTTAACTGTATTTGTGTAGTTTCCCAAAACTAGGATTCAGGGAACTTTCCTAGGATTATACTCCCTAAAATAGTAGTAAAAAAAAGGCCGAGCACGATGGCTCACGCCTGTTATCCCAGCACTTTGGGAAACCGAGGTGGGCAGATCACAAGGTCAGGTAAGGAATTCGAGACCATCCTGGCCAACATGGTGAAACCCCATCTCTAGTAAAATACAAAAATTAGCTGGGTGTGGTGGCATGCACCTGTAGTCCCAGCTACTCAGGAGGCTGAGGCAGGAGAATTGCTTGAACCCGGGAGGTGGAGGTTGCAGTGAGCCAAGATCATGCCACTGCACTCCAACTTGATGCCTCATGACAGAGCAAGACTCTGTCTCAAAAAAAACCAAAAGTATTAAAAGATATTATTTTTACCTCAGATTCTGCTTTCTGGGAAAATTCAAGCTAAGATATATGGAAAGTTTATCAATAGGGAGAAAGCAGAAGTCAAAGACCAGACCCTGGATCCTTTCTAAAACTTAGCCATAAATCTCCTACATTTTATCTGTTTCTAAATGCAAGCAAAAACAGCATCACAATAGATTACCATTTCTCCTTTAGACACATATAATGCTGTTTTTACAAAATTGTAGCAATAATCCATAACGACTAGAAAAACACAAAACCTATAAAGGGAATATAAAAAACACCTATGATCTGATGCTATCATATTGTAATTAACTCATCAGCATTTGGCCACATTTTCATCCAGTAATATATCTACACTTCCAGTTCTGTAAGCTCATATCCTATTCAACAATATATAATGGAATTTGCCTTTTAAATTATTTTAAAACAAACTATTACCCTATCTGTAAAGTCTTTTATTATAATGTAATGATGTCCTTCTGGTTGGAATGTTAAGTCTTTAATTCTTTAAAAATAAGTAACAGTAGAGCAAATTTCCCTATATGTTAAACCTCTGACAAGGTGTCTGTTTTTATCAATATGAGACACTTCAAAATATATATGTGTCATCACTAAATGGAGACTATGTGGGTACTCTAATGATTCTCTGGCCTATAAAGTACAAATCATGCCACTGTTCTCACTTCATTTGCCTTCCCTTGGGTATTTCCATTTCACCAGAGTTTGTCCTACCATAGAATTGGTTACTTCAGTCTCTTCTATTCTTATTAAATACAATGTCCTGTGTACAAAAAAACTCACAAGCTACATGAGAAAGTACGACATTTTTATTAAATTCTAAGTGGAAAAAACTGAATCACCTCAAATGTATAGACACAAAGAGATAAAAAAATAAAGGTAGAGAGGAAGATATACCATACTGACACTAATCAAAAGAAAGGTAGATCACCTATATTAATTTCAGATGATACAGATTTCAGAGCAAAAAAAATTATTAGGGATAAAGAACATTACATAATGATAAAAGGGTCAATTCTCCAAGAAGACAGCAATCCTTAATGTGTATGTAACTAACAAGAGAGTATCAAAATATAAGAAGCAAAAATTAATAGAACTATAAAGGAAAATAGATAAATACACTATTACAAGTGCAGACCTCAGCACACCTCTAACAATAATTGACAGATCCAGCAGGCAGAAATTCAATAAGGACATAGTTGAACTGAAAAGTACCGTCAATCAACTGGCAGTCTTACCCATAATACCCACAATCCTGAAACAAACCAAATACTCAGCAACAAATGGATAAACAAATTCTAACAATAAAAAGAAATCATGCAACCACAGATGAATTTTTAAAACATTATCAAGAGTGAAGATTCCATTTATATCAATTCTGAAAACAAACAAAACTAATCTACGGTGCTAAAAATCAGAAAATGAGTGGTTATTTCTAGAGAAGAGAGGAGAAATTGGAAAGAGGCATGAGCAAACTGTGGGGGTAATGGAAGTATTCTGTGTCTTATTTTGGTGGCAGTGACTGTGAAGAAGTATAAGAAAGCTTTTGGGGCAACAACATTAAACATCGTAAACTTGCTGGCTGCACAGGTATGTTTATTTTAGTATAACATAAGCAAAAATGCACAAGTTATAAGTCTACAACTTCATGAATCTCTAAAAAGCAAACACAAGCAGGGTGCAGAGGCTCACGCCTGTAATCACAGCACTTTGGGAGGCCAACACAGGTAGACCACGAGGTCAGGAGATCAAGACCATCCTGGCTAACACAGTGAAACCCCATCCCTGCCAAAAATACAAAAAATTAGCCAGTATGGCGGCACATGCCTGTAGTCCCAGCTACTCGGGAGGCTGAGGCAGGAGAATCACTTGAACCCGGGAGGCAGAAGTTGCACTGAGCCGAAATCATGCCACTACATTCCAGCCTGGGTAACAGACCGAGACTCTGTCTCAAAAAACAAAAAAAGAAAGAAAAGAAAGAAAAGAAAGAAAGAAAGGAAGGAGGGAAGGAAGGAAGGAAGGAAGGAAGGAAGGAAGGAAGGAAGGAAGGAAGGAAGGAAGGAAGGA